CTTTGAGCTAGTTTTCATAAAAGAGTAAATGCTTTCATAATTAAGCAAGAGAGAAACTTTGATTTCCAAGTTAGCCTTTGAGCTAAGTTTTGAGCAATTATCTCAAATCACAGAAAGAAGTATGTTTTAAACATAAAGAGCTAGTATCATATTTTGGGAGTGGTATTGAGCCCCGATATGGGGACGAACTTGAGTTCAGATAACTCACGTCTCTATAAACCATGTAGTCATCATGGGTAGAAATGGGTCATACTTTTTAGATGAATCCTTTTCGCATAGACTAGTGGATCCACTTAGTAATTTAGGTCATATACCCCTGGCAGGGTATAGGATGCGCTGTCAACGTGAGGGAGATCATTGTATCATCACAATAGCTATTATGTGATGGTTGTCAGTTAGAGAAACTCCCACAACAGTACTTTGTATTTTTATATACATCAGTTTATTTGTATTTTTACATACATCTCAGAGTTATTTGTATCTTTGCATACACACAGAGTTGACATCATGTTTTAAACAACTTTTCTTTATATTGCACTTGTTTTAAACTGCTTTATATTGAAATGAGTTCAATTATGTTGAGTTGAGTTGACCCAGGTAAGTTCTTCAGTTCCTTTTAGATTCTTTTCAAGCCTATGTTGTTTTTAGCATTCCAACTCGCATACTCGTACATTCAATGTACTGATGCCAGTTGGCCTGCATTGTATTATGATGCAGACGCAGGTAACTAGGATCGGCATGCAGCGCATCATTGATCCAGTGAGCAGTTCAGAGTCTGTTGGTGAGCCTCTTTGCATTTCGGAGGATCCCTTTTGTTTACTTTCAGTATTAGATAGTTCATTAGGATGTCGTGGGCCTGTCCCGACATCTATCTCAGTTGTTTTAGAGGTTTCATAGATAGTCAGTCAGATGTTAGTTCATTCGTCATCATTTTGTTATTGACTTATGTTCAGATTTGAGTTGCCATTTTGGTTAAGTTAAATGTTTATTTTTAAAACATTATGAGTTCAGTTTGAGACAGTTAAGTTGTTTAGCATTTGAATTCTTTTCTTATTGCATGTAGTCTTCCGCTGAGTAAGTAAGTCAGGTCAATGGTTCCCTTGGGGACAGCAATGGTTCTCGAGTGTCAGTCCCGCCCAGGGTGTTGACTCGGGGCGTGACAAGACCAAACTCAACTTTTTGGAGTTAACCACGCAAACAGAATTCTCATCCGAGCCCGTTTATCCAATGTTGACTGTTGACACCAAATTTTGGTTTGATATTTCTAAAGTTGATACTTTTTAAGTATTTTATTTTTAAAATAGTTCAAAATGCATGTTTTGTCATTCTAATGCAATTTGTTGATCGATTAATTCTGTTTATATTATTTTGTCACAGGCGATTGAATACGTTCAGATATTTGTTCACTTTTTATAAAATCATTATTTCTGTTAGTTTGCATTTTTACATGTCATTGGTTACGTTCATTATATTTTTCATATTCATTTTATCTGTTACATTTGTTAGTATTCATTTTGATATTTTTGCACAGTTCAGAAATTCATTCGAATATAGATAAGATTTCATATACAAATATTTTATTAACCGGTGATTTTGGCCCACGATTTTAAGATAGTAGTATTGTACTACGGATAATTTTCAATTCCCTATTTAAAGAATAGTTTGATCATTAAGTTAAAGGGTGGTGAAATATATTTAGATTAGGATTGGAAATTTTCAGATTTTTATTAATTTCACTTTTCATTATTTTACGGTGACCATTACCCTGGGTTTCGGCCAAGCTCCGGCAAACCTAACCCCATTTTTGTCTTCCTTTTCCAGTGACAGTCGACCACCCAAAGACCCCATTTTTTCCTTTTTTTCTCCTCTGCCTCCGTACCACCAGAGAACCCAACATAAAACCCCCATCCTTTTTCCGATGAACAAAGCGCTAGAGCAGTGAGCTTCCACAACCAGTGAACCCAGTTTTCCAGTCCCTTTTCTGGCGAACTCCACAACCACATGAAGCTTCCAGCCGCCTAACTAAAAAATAACAACAAACAACCACCGTTCCTCAACCACCACACCAGCAAACTCCAACAAACAACCAGCAATGACCTTCATCCCATCTTTCTCGTCCAACCAAAACCCCACAGCCCCATCTCCGGTGAACCTCCGGGAAACCACCAGAACATCGCCAGAAATAACCAAAACACACCCACCGGAGAACCCACTTGAAGTCGTTCCTCCACCACCAACCTCTATCTCGTCCAAACTGCCACCAACGAACCAGATCCCCTCCCCTTTCCCTTTCACGATTTATTTTTGGTTTTTATTGCAGCTTTCACGCGAACTAGCGAGCTCGAAGCTCCGACTCCAGCTCTGGTGTGGCTCCATCGCCTGTAAACCACAACCAGTTTACCAGATCTTGCACCAGCGAACTTGAAGTTCCATAATCCAACTCCGGCGAAGCTCAAAGGCTCAGCCATTTTCGGCCAACTCCACGCTGTTGAAACCTCACCGTTTGTCTCCATTACTCATCTTTTTATTTTTTTTCTTGGTTTAATTTTATTTTACTTTTGTTGTGCTCCGATTCTTCACAATGATTGTCATTTTGAATTTATTTTATTTTGTCAAGGTGATTTGAATTTGTTATATTCCGTTATGATAGTTTTGTTGAGTTTTACCATCTCGTATCACATTTTGCTAGGTGTTTACTTTGTTCATTTATTGTTATTCTACTTTATTCATGTTTGGCCATTTTTTATTTTGTTGGAATTAGTGGTTTATGTTGTAAAACAAAGAATTGGATGTACATGTGGATGGGGCCCACTCATCTTGGAGGCCAAGTAGATCATTGTAGCAAGTATACTACTCCAAGTTTGAAGGCTTATGAAACCTTTCATTCTATGTGAAATAAATATATACAAGATAGAAGCAAAAACATAATTACTACTCTCTTTCCTTTTCTTTGCTATTTTAGTTTAATATTTTCCTTCTATTTATAACAGTTTATATATATTTTTATTTAATTTGTATTGTTATGTTTTGGATACTGCTCACAAGTCATTTTATTTTACTTTATATTATCCTTTGCTAGTTTAATGTGATATTTATAGTTCAATGATTGAATGTTATTCCTTGTTGAAAATCATTTCTGTTAAGTTTTGAATTGTTTATTTTATTTTAGTTAAAGCTTTAAATTATTACTTTGCCTTGTTATTTTGTTATTTTGTTATTTTGTTATTTTGTTATTATTGATGTGTTATATATTTGTTGTCATTCTTTAGATAGCTTGAGTATCATTTACATTGGGTTCTATTTGTGTTGCTTGAAATTTATTTGATGCATTTTGTTCTTAATTAAGTTATTTTTAGCAAATGTTAAAATTGGCCAATGAAAAAATCTCTTCGTCGATTTTGGAGGCCTCCCTATTTTAAAAGACAGAAATTTAGTTTAAATTCATATACATTATTTGTTAAAAATGGCCGATGAAGAAATTATCGTTGATTTTCAAGGCCTACCATGTTCATAAGACGGATTTTTGTTTTTAAGTTATTATTTGATTATTCATATTTATTTATTACTAACACTTTTATTAAGTATCTTTACAAGTACACGGAGTTGCTTCCCATTGAAGCTATTTGAATGAAGTTCGAATTATATAATTTATTCATTATCTTGTATATCATATGTTTATTATACTTGTATATTTGTTTTTATCTCCTCCTCAATTTGAAAAAATGAATTCAGTCGAGACCCACAATTGTGGATTTCGAAGGATGCCTAACACCTTCCCTTCGGAATAACTTGAACCCCTTACCTAGAATCTATTAGTTTCGTAGATATTTTTTTAAAAGTTAATTAATTAATTAGTTTCCTAGTTTTTCCTAAAATTAGGTGGCGACTCTTTTTTAATCACTTTTCCCTTTTTAAAATTCTTTTAAAAATAGATAATTATTTTTTGGTGAGTCACCGCGTCGTTGCGCCCTCTCACGGGATGGCAACATTGATTAAAGTCAAACTTAGGTCTTAACTTGAAAGTTAAAATGCCTAATCACATGTTCTCACAGTAAAAGCCTCAACCATGTTACTAGTCTAAAATGACCCTTTCGGAGCTGATGAAATTGTCAGAATTGAATTCTGAGTTCATCTTCGTGAACTTATGATAAAAATGATCATTCAAGGTTCAAAGGCTCTAAAACACATAAATTTGCATATCTCGACGACGAACAGAAGATATAAACACATAAATGACTTGGGATCACTATAGGAACACTCTAAACAACGAACATAAGACATAAACACATACATGACCTGGAGGGTCATTACACCCATCCCCCTAGGTCAAAACTAAACTTTCTTCGAAAATTGAAATACTCATAGCTACATAGGTCTTAAACATCAAATTTCATCAAAATTGAAATACAAATCTCAAATTTCCATATTCCTAGTTTTGGGATTGAAATCCCCAATCTTCAACCCAAGACATGAATTAAATAAGAATAAGGAGGTTAGATTGGTACACCCACGACAAATCTCAAAAATAGCTCCAAAATCATGTCTAGTGTAGAACTCAAAATATGTTATGAAATGCTTAATCCCGATTTAGGAAAAAAAACTAATATTCTCACATACCCCTTTCGTCATGAATCATGATCGTGGAACCCACCTTGCGATCGCGGCTCCTAATCTCTATACGATTACAATAAACTTGTTGAGTGAGTCGTTTAAATTCTACACAATATTAGATTCGATTTTAAACTAAGGGTGTGTCTGGTATGACGTAATATGTTTCCATGAAAAAAAAAATGTTTTTGTGGTTATTTGGAAAGGAAAAGAAAAAAAAAAAACAAGTCCCGTGGTTGGACATAACAGTTCATCCATGAGTAGTCAATATCTTCTACTTTCCGCCATTTGGCCTAACTTTTTGTAGAGTTGAAGCAACTTTCCACTATTATCTCCCGTTGACCTCTATTAAGCATACATATTGGAAATACTTGTAAATGCATTGCATCACCCTTTTCTCTCCTTGTATATATAAAATGGATTTTGCACCGTTCCCATGGCTTCAAATTGTGATACCATGAAAAATAAATTGTTAGGTTGGAATTGCCTAATAACTTGTGCAATTCTGCTTTCCGCTGCTTTGTTTATAAGAAGCACCTTCATCATCACTGAATGTAAAGAGGTAAGTAATATATACTCCCTCTGTCACAAAAAAAAAATGAATTACTCTGGTAATACTTTAATTTCAACTTTCCACTTGACATGTTTCATTGCATTTTTATACATTTGACATAACTTTAGTTTAACACCACAAGATTGAAAAGTCTTATTTATATTCTTCTTTGACATAACTCTTGTTCCACAGTATATATATAGTTATAATGGATGTTTTTGTTAATTGGTACAGAAAGTAATAGGATGGGAAATGGTTGAAGCCTTCAGAATGAGGAAACCTAGATCGATGTGTGAGGTTGGGATCATCTAAATTTTGTGAAGAAATGAGTTAATTAGTTGTGTAATTAATTAATTAATGTGCAAGTTATTATAGGATGAGTGCAGGCCTGAAGGAAGTGAGACATTACCCAGAGGTATTGTGGCTAAGACCTCTGATTTAGAGATGCATCCGCTCTGGGGTCCCCTCAATACAAGGGTATATGACTGATTATACATTTGCTTGTCCTGTAAACTATTTTTATCTTTAGTTTTAACTATAAGAGGCAGTAGTAATGTTTTTTTATCCTTGTAGAAATCAAAATCACCAATGAGCTTACTAGCTATGGCAGTCGGAATTAAGCAGAAAAAGAATGTAAATGAAATTGTAAACAAGGTGAGACGCCATAGATATTAATCATTTTTCATCCTAGCGATCTAACTAACTATATATAATACCATCTCATTTGCAGTTTCCTCATACTGATTTTGTCATTATGCTTTTTCACTATGATGGCCTCCTCGATGAATGGAATGATCTTGAATGGAGTAGCACTGCTATTCACATTTCTGCTATTAATCAAACTAAATGGTATGAGCCTTTACATCCACAGTCAGACTGGTATACTAGTGCCGGATCCAAAATTTAGACATTGTGGGTTCCGAGTTGAGAGTCTGTATTCTCAAATCAAAGCCTAACTCCATCCCATACTTGTTTTCCACACACACACCATGTGTTATTAATAGCCTTCACTCAGGTTATTCTATAACGGTAAAAGCATTAACTGACTCTTTATTCTCTTGTTATTTTAGGTGGTTTGCTAAGAGGTTCTTACACCCAGATATTGTTGCAGAGTATTCTTACATATTCCTCTGGGATGAAGATCTTGGAGTTGAAAATTTCAATGCTGGACGGTAATTATAGGGCTAAAAAGATATATCTTCATACTAAGAGCCATTGATGTCAACCAGAAAAATAATCTCCACCTGCAGATATGTATCAATAATAAAAGAAGAAGGTCTTCAGATATCACAACCAGCAATCGATGCAGATACTTCAGAAATTCACCACAAACTTACAGCACGAGAAGAGGGATCAAGAGTGCACAGGTATTATTACTTTCATGATCAGTGACTGGTTTATCAGTAATAAGTTGGATCTTCTTGAAAGGATGTACTCTTATGGTTGAAACAGGAGGACAATAAACATAAAGGGTCCTGGAAGGAGGTGCTACGGAGACAGTACTGAACCTCCATGCACTGGGTAATATTAATAGGCAGAAAGAATTGTGTTTCATTTCACATCTTTCCTATCCATCTTTGAATTTCGAATTAACATGCAGGTGGGTGGAAATGATGGCTCCTGTTTTTTCAAGAGCATCGTGGCGCTGTGCCTGGTACATAATTCAGGTATGCTTTCAGATCTTAACACACTAGTCGTACACCAAATTTCTTATTGAATTTGGTAAGTTTGATATTACAGAATGACTTCGTTCATGCATGGGGGGTGGACTTTCAGCTTGGATATTGTGCGCAGGTATCAATTCCTGCACCAGCAATTACATTTTGCAGAAATTATCGTCAATTAAAAAAAAACACATCTACTCTCCTGTTTGATCTGTAACTATTTTTGATAGGGGAACCGATCCACTAATGTTGGGGTTGTTGACTCAGAATATTTGGTTCACTATGGTCTTCCAACACTAGGTGGTGCAGAAAATGAGGTATGTCCAGCAAAACCAAAGGGGATAAACTTACAGTAGACAATTGAACATCTCCTATCTTTTCAGTAAATCCTAACCATTGTCTTTCTATGTAGAAGAGTAGTTTAGAACAAGGAACAAATCCTAAACAGGAAAGCTCACCAAACAAAATGGTATGTACTAAAAGTAACTAGCTTTCAACAATCAACTTCTTGAATAAAATGAATTACCTGAAATATCATTGCAGGGACTGCCAGAGTCTCATCCATCTGATGCAAGAAATGCTGTAAGTTCCATTTACTTTTTCAACAAGAACCTTAGTAGCTTATCTTTGCAGTTGCCACTGTCTTTCTAACATGCTTGTTCTAGTGTATCTACACCACTGACACAATGCAAGAAGACAATCTTCTATTGTTGAATCACTTATGATGCGACTAAGGACATGACTAATTAGAATGCCCAAGTTTAGTTCCATGTTATGATAAACCCAGTCATATGCAGGTGCGGAAACAATCTCTTGCAGAATTGGAAAGATTCAAGAATAGATGGAAAAAAGCTGCCAGAGAAGACCAATGTTGGGTTGATCCCTTTCAGCGGCCTGTGAAACAAAAAAAGTGACTGAAGGGGCTGCATCTTCAAACTTAAAACTGATACACACAAGTTACGGTTATTCCTCTGTCTTCAAGCTCTGGAAATCTGAGATAATTATTATGGATTTCAAGTGGCCATGATAACAGAGGGACATTGTCAATTTCCATAAGCCCCAATTATGTATAAAAACAAATAGAATAGTTCAGACAGACAGAGTCATTTATGATTTTCACTCTGTAGTTCATTCTCTGTCTGAAACAATTGGTGAAAATACAAAACTGTCAAGCAGCTGAAAAATGAAATTCAACCATTTTCTGGTGTTATCTCGTGCAGCATTACAATATTAGATATATATCATGTTGTACAATTAGCAAAACACACTAATGTGTATGCATATATATATCAACAGATGGACTACCCATTTAATTCATAGATTAGATCTTATAACAATCACAAACTGCTTCTCTTTCCAACAATTCCAGCAATGAGTTGACCTAATTCTTCACCACTATCCTCCTGAACGTGATGTCCTGACTGCATAATTCAGAAAATAAATACACTTTTCTCTAAAAACCAATAACACATTGAAACACAAGAAAGATATAAAGAACATTTAACTTGTTAATACGAATCAACTTCTGATAAGCAGTGCTCAAATGACCATAAGTTCCCGTTTTAATTTACTGAGGGTTCAGAAGGCATATTCAAGAATATGATATTCATCACGAAAGCAATGCTCTGCATTTGTAATACTATCCCAAGATAAAGAGCAACAAAATAGTGTCATTACCATAGGAAGTTCAACTAGTCGATGCTTTGATTCCTTGCAGAAATCTTCTACACCATCAAAGTTTAACCAGCGGTCTCTTTGTCCCCAGCAGACTGTTGTCTGGACTGACCAGTTATTGTCCATAAGTATTGCTCTTGTGTCCTCAACATAGCCCTGACGATTAGGAAGTTTTAGACTAATATATCCTTAAATGAAGAGGAAGATAGAATAAAGTAACTGAAATCCAGCATTTTCTGTTCTTCTTTACAAGACTAATAGGAAGAAGAGAATTGATTGGTTATCGCATAATCAACTTATGGGATTTCTGTTGACAAATATAGCTCTCTGAAGCACATTCCCATTCCCATTTGGATGGAGAAATTTGGATTGTAAAGTAGATTTTGGATTTACAAATCTCAATATTTTGTGAATTTTAGATGACATCTTAAGTTTTCATTTGAAATGAACAGAAACAAGGGTTAAAATAATTGTGATAAAACTTGTGTTCCAAGCTCTGCATAGCTAAAACCTATGTAGTCTTGATTGTGATCCCCCAATCAGTGAGAGAAGTTGTAATCTGTTCCGATATCCTACTCCATGTCTTCCTTTTATTAACACTTCTTGGTCTGTGCTTACATTTCGTGGAGGTTAATGTTGTTTTATGTCGTCTGATCCAACTTTGTTAATTGAAAATTGTAATTTTCCAGAAATATGGGAAGTTAGATGTGATTGTGTCAAATGCTGCTGTCAGTCCTTCAGTTGATGCAATACTAGAAAGCTGTGGGATATCAATGTCAAAGCCTCTATATCTATACTATTACTACAAGTAAGTTGATGAGAATAAATCAAGAAATGTATATCTTGATCTTCCTTTCCATTAATGCATATCTAAGTTTGCAGCCAATCAAAATGTATAACTGATATAAAATAAAAAACGTTTGACCAGGTTATCCCTGGAAATTCGCCAGCAGGATGATGAATGTTCTTCTGTTAGACAGAAGGGAAACCCTCACACCAATTATTTCTGTTTGTAATTGTTACACAATTATTCTAGACCTTCCCCAAAAAGATAGTTTTAGTTTTCTAACATTTAGATGCATTTTGTTACCAACTCATCTAATCGTCACCTCTGCTGAAAGTTTCCTTACCTAACTCCATTTAAACAATTTCAGCTAGAAAACTTCCATAAAATCAGGTCCTGAATTCCTTGTTTCTGTTATACCATGGTGCTCCTAGAAGAAAAAATCCCCACCCTCTCTCATATGCCTTCAACAATGGAATAGGGAGGGAAAAAAGAAGAAAAACAAAGGACACCTGCTTCCGTCCTTTGAGGCAGGTCAGAAAAGAAAAGAAAGGACAAACAACATTCTAGCCAGCTAGCACTGAGAAGAGATACTTTTGGATACATATTACTTTTCTGGTAACCATTGAAAATTAAACTTGAGTTGGATTAGCCTGAAACCAATTAATTAGAAAATTAAGACATGGATAAAAAAAAGTGCACCTTAAGTTGTTTTTTCATTGCCTTGCTTATCGCATTTAATGCAAACCCTGCAGAACCAGATGTGAGATAAGGTCTTCTGTAAACCATTGCCACATCTTCTTTTATTTGGTAAGGACCACAACTCAGCAATGTTTTATCACTGGCTCTAAGAGGGTCCTGATAGCAACAGATTTAAAACCAAGGATGAGTCCAGAGAAACATGCATGTCAGCAAGCAGAATAAACATGAAAATATTTGCATCCTCTCTACCTGACAAAAAATTTCCCCCAACAAGAAGTTGCTCAGAACAGATAAGCTTGACGGCAGTTTGGCATGATTTATAGTAAGCTTCAGTAAACCAAAAAAAAAAAATGGATTAGTGAATCCGAACATTACTTCACTCAACTAATTTGAAGGAGAAAAAGAAGTTGAAGAAACAAGACTAAACGTCAACCTTAAGACAGTTCTATCTTTCTTATGTCTGAAAAGAGTGTAAAATAATATGGTTCAAGGTCATAGAATTAGGAAAGGCCTCCAGCCTAGGAAACGAGAAAACCATCATATGTTTGTTTGCTGGCAATTTCATAATTTACAGAATAATTCAGTTATCTGCAGAATATGACAAAAAAATGTTCAGCAAATAAATGCATGTACTAATTGCAGTTAAGTGTTGACTAATCCTTACTGGCGGATTTAGAAGTATCAGGCCGTTCAACTTTTCCTGGTGATTGCTAGCATATTTGATTGCAATTGGTGAGAAATACCCCTGTAAGAGTGGCAAAAGCAAAGATTTTCTTCAAATCAAATCTCACAAGAAAAGCAACACACTGCAAGTTAGATGCTTACAGTCAAATAAATGAGTAAGTAGGCATGCTGGCGGGGCCACTGCCTCCCGCTTAATTGATGGGGTTGGGTGGAGGGGCTCAGATTTGTTTTGAATATAAGTTTAAACACCATGGTGGTCCTATAGAAGAATTATTTTTTATACATATAAACATACCTGCACTACAAGAGTAACCTTTTTGTCAGTAAGAGCATTGATCACAGATTCCAAGGATGCCACATATTCTGTCAGAAATAAAAAATTGAATGTTAAAAAGGAGGGAGAAATTCTTCATTCTTTTGAAAAAAGATTCCAACATTGTAACAATCTGATCATATAATTATATTACTTGGTTGGGTTGTTTGGTCCGTCAAAAGATTTTTTGGGCCCATGTAGGATCCTTCAAAAATACATAGCTTTGGGAGGATCTGACACACACCCGGAGATATTTTTGAAGAGTCCAATCAACATAGTTACTAGGTGGAGAGAAATTATGACTCACCATCCAATGTATAGTCAAATCCATATTTTGGTTGGGGCTTATCTGAGAATCCAAATCCTGTAAGGAGAAGGTAAAACTATTCATATAGCCTGACAGGATTAAAGATAGATGTGATTCACACTATCTTTTAAGAATAGTAGAAAAACTAGAACGGAAGATAACATGGAGACACTGTTAAAACTGTTAAGTACATAAGAAATAGAAACACATTCAAAGACATGTGGTTAGAGCTGCACTGAAAAATGATCAAATGGAATCGTGAAGTATTAGTATACAGCCAAGGACCATTTTACAACTAAAGATTTCATTATTTGGGTTGCATAGGTTAATGCTAACCATGTACAATATTACAGCCAAGTAACTTTAAAATTCTCATTTTACCCGCCACACAAATACTTAAGGATTGTTTTAAACCACAAGTTTTAAAAGTATTCTTTCTTAAATTTCATGCCTGTCAGATAAAATGGGATGGAGGGAGTATGTTCTTTTGGATTTGAAATTCACACTGAAGATTCTGAGACTGGAACTCGATGGATTCTGTAAGAAAAAAAACAGACACTTGATCTAACTGTAGAGGTATGAATGCATAGTTAAGGTAGCATTGAGAATGGAAAACAATTAGGAAGATAAAGCAAGAAAGGAAGTAGTGAAATACTGACCCAGCCAATCAAGTGCTATAGCATGATAGTTGTTCTCAAGAATGGGAAGAACTTTGCGATAAGAGTATGCCTGTAAAAAGTAGGAGTTGATGCATGGTTAGCAAACTATCAACCAAGACAAGGGTTACATGGCAAAAGACAGACCTTAGTTTGAATGGTAAAAGGAAATATGGTAACCTGTGATGGTAAGCCGTGGATTAATAGAATGGGAGAATTGTTAGAGCTTCCACTTTCTACACAAAACCATCTATTGCACAAAATCATATTCAATGGGTAACCCTGCAAACAACCCATCCTCAATTTCTACATATAAGATTACTAACTCCCTTAAACAAACTAATAAATCATCCAGATTCACCTGAAAAGATCAGATGACGCCTGCGAACTCCCACCCATTGTAAGTCCAAAAATGGGATCCTTTGCTTTCTCCCCAGTCCCAGAAACCGGATAAGCTTTCACCTAAATTAATATCACTGAATTTCAGAATTTTAACAAATAAATGCAGCGTGATTTCGATCAAGGATGGAAAAACGCACAAATTTTCCTTTGTTGAACCATTCATCAGCCGGACTTGGCTCATCTGAATACTTCCCTACTCAAAAAGAAATCAAAATTTATATTCTGAATATAGTGTTGATCCATAATCAAAATTGAAGAATCGGAATTGGAACCAAACCTCCGCTAAAAGAAAAGCCGTCCCCAATTGAAACAGGAGCATCCAGCAAATAATCCTGAATAATTAATTGTCAGCAATTTTACTGAACAGAGAGAAATTTACATAATTTACTAAAACAAATGAGACCTCCTTATCATCACTACTGGATCGGCAATTGAATCGCAAAATCCTTGGCTGCGCTCGAGAGTACTTTACAGTTACAGAGGGTAAGCTGTGAAGTGAAGAAAAGGAACAAGAGTGAAGACTAGCCATGGAATTTTCTCATCTCACAGTTATGATCGTTTTGTTTTCCAAATTTAAAATACTAGCGTTGGGGATAGATAGAGTGTCTCTGGTTCTCCACATTCACTATTTTGGTTCACAAAAAATAGCCAAGTTTGAGGTGCAATTCTTTCTCCAAAATGTACCTTATAGTATATTGTTGGGGCAGTGACTAATCAACTTATCATTTTCTAGTTTATGTAGCGTTTAGATTTCAAAAATTGATATAATCTTTTTCCGAATAGTATAAACCAAACAAAATGGATATCTACATAAATATATTTTGTGTTGTAATATAAATATACATATAATATATTTTGTGTTGTAACATACAGGTATACACAATATATATTGTGTGTAAGATGGATATAAACACAACATATTATGTCTTGTAAACTAGTCACTCGTACAATATACTTGGTGCCCAAGTATATACACGGCAAATAGATATCCATTTAATATATTTGGTGTCCAAGTATGTACATGTTTATTGTAACGACCATCCTAGTCATTTTGTGAATTTTACAGGTTTTCCCTATTTTATCCTCTCACCCATAATTTTTTTAAATTGATTTATGACTTGTAACTTGTAAGGATGGATGATACGATTTTTGAAGTGATCAGATAGGTTCGGAGACGATAATTCATTTAAAAAGTATAAGTGGAACATGCATGGTAAATATTCATATTGTGATATTTCGACAAAGATCTTGAACACATTTGAGGACGAACGTTATTTTAAGTGGGAAAGAAAGAAAAAGGCAATGGAATGGAATTTCTTTTGTATATTTTTTCTTCTGAATTTGTATATATGATCGAACAATGGAATGTTAAGTAGTTTATACATTCATGTATAATTACATGGATTAATATGCTCTGTATAAAGTGAATTGAACAACTGCATGATTTGAATATGGAACGTTTTTTCATTTTTTCTAAATTTGTATATATATACAATATGAGTTCATCGGTATTTATGAAAATTGTGTTTGTATATTTACTTCTTTTGGTATATGTGTATGATCTATGGGATAAGCTTGGAACTTGTATATGTATAAATTTATTATATATATATAATTGTACTAGCTGTAAATTGTATATGTATATGACAATCGTGATGGGCTTGTCAATTGTATATGTATACATATATAACTAGGGAAAATTACGCGGTTAATCAAACTTATACTACTTAATTACTCATCATAGCTATAGTTTGCTATAATTACCACTCACGACTAACATTATACATTAATTACGCGGGTTGACTTCGAGTTTGTATAATTAGTCATGTTTGTATATGTATAATTCGTCAGAATATACAAATACATATGTATAATATACAATTATCTAACCTATATACATATACAATTCACCTCTCTCCCACTCTCTGCCCTCTCTCGCTCGCCTCTCTCCTCTCTCTCCCAATCTCGCTCGCCTCTCTCCTCCCTCTCCCAATCTCGCTTGCTATATATACAATTGCATATGTAAAATATACAATTATCTAACATATATACATATACAATTCACCTCTCTCCCCCTCTCTGTCCTCTCTCTCTCGCCTCTCTCTTCCCTCTCCCAATCTCGCTCGCCTCTCTCCTCCCTCTCCCAATCTTTCTTGCCTCTCTCCTCCCTCTCCCAATCTCTCTTGCCATATATACAAATATATATGTATAATATACAATTATCTAACCTATATACATATACAATTCACCTTTCTCTACTCTTTGCCCCCTCTCTCGCCTCTCTCCTCTCTCTCCCAGTCTCGCTCGCCTCTCTCCTCCATATAACATGTAGCTACGAATTGTAATTATCAAACTATAGCTATGGAGAGTAATTAGACTATTTTTGAGTGGCTATATGTGAAAGTTCCCCATATAACTATAGGAATAAATATTTCAGATGAAAGTTCATGAAATAACTTAAAAAATTTCCAAAAAAATAAAAAGGAAAAAATAAAAACAAATTGATTTAAACACGTTTAGGCGGTTAGCTAAAATTTTTGATGCCACAACCGAGAGGAATTTGAAATTCAAACTAATTTGGGGAGAGATTTTGGGGAAAAAAAAGGAAAAAATAAAAACAAATTGATTTAAACACGTTTAGGCAATTTTGATACCACAATCGGGGGATTTGAAGTTCAAACTGATTTAGGGAGAGATTTTAGGAGAAATTGAAGGAAGTGGGGTGAGAAAAGAGGGGAAGTGAATTGTATAAAACCATGACTTCCTTTTTTTTTATTTATATTATATACAATTGTGTGGGTCCCATCTAATAGCAAAATTTGTGAAACATAGGCTACCGTGTAGAATTAAATGTAACAGTAGCTATAACATTTATTTTAAAAGTTTGCTATTATGCACAATTTCTCAATTTAAGTAATGGGTCTAATCAGGATAAATATACTAGATTGAGTCCAATTTAGGTAAATACTTTACTTAATGAATTCATTTGTTTAGTTTTCCCAAAAATAAACATGAGAAATTATGCATAATAGCAAACATTTAGCCTATATTAGGTACTATAGCTATAATGTAAGAAAATTGTAATTCACGGCTACAGTTTCTCTAATTCTTGTTATTCGTCTGATTTGTATAATTCACCTGAGTTGTATAAATCCAAAATTTATATAATTTAGTTCATGATTGTATAAATCCAAATTTTTGTATATGCTTATCCTAGCTATTTGTATACGATTTATGAAAAATTAATAATAAATTACCCTATTTGTATATTGGTAAGTGAAATATACAAACGGAGTTTTGAAAATTTCTAAATGTATAAATACAAATTTTTTATATACTTACCTTATTTATATATTCGCAAGCGAAATATACAAACTGCAACCTTAATAACAAACGGAACTAAAACTATGAAACACAATTATCAAAATTATAGATTTAGAGGCCTATTATATCTACGGAAAATGGTCAAAATTGTCCCTGAACTATGCGAAATAGACCAATTATACCCTCCGTTACATTTTGAGCTCAAAAATACCCTCATTGTTATCTCTAGAGACCACAAATAACCCTCAAAAGTTAACAACCTAAATTTTTAATGACATGGCAAGCTATGTGTGACTGATCCTTCTAGCTAAGCTGCCAACTAGGATTACCACTAACTTTTTGTAAAAATCCAAATCTCCTAAAGTTGTATTAATCCAACAAAAAATAAGAACAAAGTTAAAATCATCTTGCCGTATATTCCCCTCATACATACAAAGATACATGTATGTTATACAAAAACTCATCCTATCAAGTCTAATCCTAAATCAAGTAATCAACGAAACCTGATTGATCATAGCAGCCCAAACAGCCCAACGAAACCAAGTAACACGAGCCAAATAATGTGAATCAACAATAGCGCTTGACCCGTAACTAGAGTAGAACCTTCGTTTCCCACCTCGCAGATCCCTGATTTCACAACATGCACACCAGCACGATGTCCCTGATTACCACTAACTCATTCTTGTTAACCAATCAATTCATCCTCCCAAATCAAACCCTAAATTTGGGAGAAAATTTTGATGCATTTTTTACCCTTTTTCGAAAAAAACAACTCGTAAAAGAAAACGTCACTTTGAGAAAGTCAAAATTTTTTAAGGCTGACTTTAAAAAAAATATGTTATCTCTGCTTTCAAACAAGAAAAATGTTGATGCCATAGTTGATAGCCCATATGTGACAAATGTGGTCTTTCTTTAATTGATATTTAAGACTCAGTAACATCAACTAGAAGAATCGAAAGAAATGTTTTGAACCTCAAAAAAATTAGATTGCTTTAATTCGTACAATAATCAAACAAATATTGGAGAGTTAAAAATTGGGTTAGCAAATACTGGAGATAGTGTTTCCATAAGGTAAAAGAAATTTCGTATCCCAAATACTGCTGATTTGGGAGGATGAATTGATAGTTAGAAAGAATGAGTTTGTGGAAATCCTAGCTGGCAGCTTAGGTGGAGAGATCAGTCCCACATGACTTGCCATATCATTAACAATTTGGGTTATAAACTTTTGAGGGGTATTTGTGGTTTTTAGAGATAACAGTGAGGGTATTTTTGAGCTCAAAATATAACAGATGATATAAGTGATCTATTTCACATAGTTCAGGACAATTTTGATCCTTTTCCATTAGTTTATTATTTTTAAAATTTTCAATTTACATCCCAAAAAAGGAGCTATTTCTGCGCTTTGAGCTGTTATTGGACTTGTGCTATCCAGTGAGCCGCTAAACCCAATAAAAAAAGAAGAAGAGAAAAGCTAGTCATTGCAAAATCCCCTAATCTTCTCCTCTTCTTTGGTCGGCAATTGTAGAAGTCAGAGAAATGGCGCTGAAGCTACCAATATCTCGCTGTTACAGTTTCAGCAATAGCTTCTTTTTCTCCTGCAAATTACCATACACTAGTCCAAAGCTCTCTGGTACTTTTCTCTTCTTTTACATATGCACTCTTAGCTCTTTGTAAATGGTTGAAAGTGTTGTTGCAGTTTTCGACTCATTCTTTGTCGGTTTATCTGATGATAATAAGTATTCTACTTGTATTGATTAGCGACATCGTTGAAGTTCAAAATCAGCAATTATCTTTCTGTAAGAGCCTTTGCTTCCGTGACTGAAGAGAAAGGTCAACCAAAGAAAAAGTAATCCTCTCTCTTTCTTGCTTCCTAGTATCATCAATTTGTTCTTCTACCCTAATGTGTATTGCTTCAACTTCCTCAGTTGCCAACTTCTCATTAAAAAAAAAAACCCAATAACATGAAAAAAAAAACTGCATACATGTTGAGAATATAATTAAATAATAAAAAGTATGTTTTCTCTAACGGCTTAAGTTTTTAGATGAGATGGTCACACACTTCAACATGATATCAGAGCAAGAATTTCCACGTGCTTGGCCCATGAAAAACAATCAGGCCTGTGCGTGAGGGGCGTGTTGAGAATATAATTAAATAATAAAAAGTATGCTTTCTCTTACAGCTTAAGTTTTCAATTTGAATACTAACACACCAATAAACATAATGGGTGTCTGGAGGATAGAGTTAAAAAAAATAGGTTCAATTAAACCTTTTTTTTTTAGAATGGCACCGTCACATTTTAGCTTAAAATTGGGATAGTAGATGCATTTGTGTTTTACTATT